ATTCTATTTGGATGAGGGTTTTTTCCTTTCACATTCCTGGTGAGAAAAAAAAGGAATACATCTCATGGCCTTAACAACATCTGCCTTAAATTTAAAAAGTTAGATTATATTTTAATAATAGCATTACTTTGAAATTCAGAAGAGAGCTTCTCAGCTGAATGACCAGAAAGCATTTGAAGATCATCCTTTAGTAAAGACCTTTCAAGACAGGATTCTTAATTACTTTGCAATTCCGCTGAGATTAAAATCCTTCAGGGATAATACATAGCCGCCATTACCGAGCACGACACATGCTAAGATTTATAAAATGCCCTAAGGAATACTTACTATTTGCATATGATCTTTGTTTTCAGATGTCAAGTTCCACTATTATCTCTGAAAATAGCTGAAGTAAATAAAGCGAGAGCTACATTTTCTAAATATTCGTGTCAAAGATCAAAAATGTTATTAACTCCTCTGCAATATTTCAGAAAACTATTTGAATTTGTAATTAGATGATTTGGAATGCTTGTTTTTATATAGTAATTGTAACGATTGCATTCATTTGATATGCTTGTATTAAGCAGATGGTATTATGTTTTGTTTTTAAAAAAAAAAAGCAATTTATAGTTGTTAAAACATGTTAGCATTTTGGTGTTCTATAACACCAAAATGGAAACCGTCAAAAATATGCATTGAAAATAGCACCCAATTATTGATTTTTAACTTTGCGATATTTTTTTTCGTTTGAATTAGTGAACATTTTGTACAGTTGCCCTATGCTTACTAATTTACCATATTCTCTATCAACAAGTCAAAACTGGAAATATGTTATTGTGATGAGCACCAGGGGTTGTTGTATCTCCTGCTCTGGGTTAGTATGCCTATATTGTTATGGGTGTGTGGGTTTCAAATGTGAGCACTTACTATTGCATCTGCATGTGGGTATGTTATCTGTTGTTTACATGCCTAAACTGTTCTTTCTTTGTACAAGTTTTATCAAATCACTGTATGAATAAGAGTCTTTTTTTATGTGCAGATTTAATCTGGTGGGCTTGGGTTATTTTCTACTATGTGCATGGATCTGGTGGGGGAGCAGGTTTTCCCATAAAGTACCCAGCACCCTTTTACCCCACATTCACCCATATTAAGGTTGAGTGCTCACTATATAATTGTTTAGGCAAATACATTTTTTCCACATAAGAATTGGTAGGGCACTGCCCCAAGTGTCCCTATGGAAGAGCCTCCACTGGAGCCAGTGTCTCGTGTTAAAGTGATCAACAAACTCCAGGAACTGTAAACACACAGATATGGAAGTTCCCAGTAAGAAAATAGATATATTTTGTCAGTGTAGCTTCTACCTCTGATTCTCACTTGCATTGGAAACTGATGGTCAGTTGTCCCAATCTCTTGATGGAGTAAGTGTGAATGTGGGTATGTATTTGTGTCAGCTGTTGGAATTTGAATACAAGTGTGTGTTGGTATTTTAATTCTGGTTAGTATTCTTGTGTAGTGTTGGCATTTCAATTTAGTTTTATGTTTGTATACAGTGTTTTGACATACACTGCCGCACACACACACACACATACTGAGACACACACACTGCCATACAAACACAGATATACACACATACATACACAAACACAGACACTGACACACATATACTGACACATATACACAGAGATACACATACACAAACATATATATACATACAGATGCACATACACAGTGACACATACCCTGGCACTGGGTGTCACACAGCAAGCATTTTCCACCACAGAGCATGTTACATGCTGATGTATTTTCAAAGTATGAGTTTAATCTGCTTAGTAATTTTTCCACAGACACCAATTTAAGTTTTGCTATTATTTATTTTTATTTATAAAGCGCCAACAAATTTTGCAGCAAGAAAACAGGTTAGACGTACAGGAATAGAGCGTGCTGAGTGCCCTGCTCTAATGAGCTTACATTCTGGGGCAGTTGGGTAAAGTGACAGGGTAAAAAGCAGGTACAGACTGACCATTCTGGCACTTGGGTAGCTCAACGTGGGCCAGCCACCCTGCTCATTGTTAAAGGGGAGAAGGCAGAACTTGGTCTGTACTTCCAGGCCAAGTTCTCTGCTCCTTCTACTATATCAGAGCGTTGCTGCAGGTTACCGTGGCAATGCTCTGATACAATCCCCGGCACTTAATTTTCCACAGGACAACCAGGGATCAGGATTCCCTCCTCTCTGGTCCAAGGTATGCCTTAGGGAAGGAGGAAAAACTTTATCTAGTTTTTTTTTATTTTTTATAATTTGTTTTGTACTTTCCCCGTACTCCCTTATCCCCCCTCAAGAGCTCATTACATCAACTACTGCCTCTAAACACAACTACAGCCCCAAATTTCCCTAGGGCGGCAAAAATCCTTGCACCGCTCTGTGTGTCAGTGAGATTGTCTGTGTGTGCTAGTAAAATTTTCTGTGGTTGGTGGGAGAACTGGTGGGAGATCCGAGCAGAACAGAAACCTATTGTTATGTAGTGGGTGTGTGTGAGCATAGGATATAGGAGGGAATGGAGCAGGGGAAAATATTGGCAGTGGTAGAAGAGAGGTTACAGATCTCTTCTCTGATTGAAGAAATCTTCTCAGTGAAGTGAATTGCAAAGTTTGTAGCAGTCAAGTTACTAAGAGGAGGTGCTATGACTGGTGCGAAGAACAGTGTTTAAAACACCACTCTAGGCACCCAGACCACTTCAGCTTAATGAAGTGGTGTGGGTGCCTGGTCCAGCTAGGGTTAACCCATTTTTTTTATAAACATAGCCGTTTCAGAGAAACTATTAATTACTACTAAATAGGTTAATCCAGCCTCCAGTGGCTGTCTCTTGACAGCCGCTAGAGGCGCTTGCGTGCTTCTCACTGTGAAAATCACAGTGAGAAGACACAAGCGTCCTTAGGAAAGTATTATGAATGCTTTCCTATGAGACCGGCTGAATGCGTGCGCAGCTCCCGGCGGGAGGGGGTCGCTGAGGGTGGGGGCACCCTCAGGGCACTAAAGTGCCAGGAAAACGAGTATGTTTTCCTGGCACTATAGTGGTCCTTTAAGGTGTAAAAGAGGTTTGGGCTCTTGGGAGAGTGTGACTATAAGGTTATTGAAGTAGTTTTGTTTTGCAGAGGAACAAGCCAAACTGGTTTGCGTAGAATGAATTTATTGTGGAGGAAATCAGATGCAGAATGAGCTGCAAACATCAGGCACACTGGGCAGTAGTAGATAAAGAATAATAACAGGGTACTGGGATGAGGTTGAGGTGATTTCTAGATGGCTTAATGAGCGTGGTAAGCGAGGGTTCCTGGGTTGGGAGAGATATCATCAGCTGCTATGCAGTAAGCAGAGTATACCCTTACTCTGCTAAGAGAATCCAGCAATAAACATTTGTTACTTCTAATTGGTGTCTGTTTGCCAGGGAGCTATTTTTTTTTAAAGCACACAATAAGATATCCATTACTTGTCAGTCTGAAACTGGCTCAGAAATGCCTCTGTATTTTTTATCATGTAAAACCATAGCTTTCTTATACTATTAAAATAAATATTATAAGCAGTTATTACTTTACTAGTAGAATACATTTCTTCCAACAAATCTTGTTTGTGAAAAAAATAATAATTCTTAACCAAAAAAGAACAAATTTAGTTCAGAACTGATTTGCAGTTTTCTACAGTCAACAGACTATTCTTTACCAGTCTGTACTACACTGGTATGACACACTCCATTACTTTGTTAGCTTGTTATTGTGCCACTGATGGGGCTCAGTAGGACATTAGACTAGAATAGCTGCAGAACCTCTATAGCATTGATTAAATTGTATAAAACCGACTGGAAGTGTGCACTAATTTGCACATTGTACAGTTTTCAAAAAATAAGGCTGTGTGTCTATAGTATTATTGTTTTGACATCCACCCACACATGTATACACTACCCACATTTATCATTAAAAAAAAATACAATTTCCTCTGTGGATGGTGTGTTGCCATCATTTGAAGCAGTCTGATGGCTTTTATTGTAATGTAATTAACTACTTCATTTCCATTAGTGCTATCATTTCATAAATATGTAATTATTGAATAAGGTAGGCTACATTAGAAGGGAATCATCACTTTTAATGTTTTTTCCATTTTATGTTTACCTAATCATATGTTTAACAAATATGTATGAGAATAAATTTAAATGTATATATCCATGCCTCTTATATATATCCATAGCTCCCTGTCAATCATTGTTATAAGCTGTGTTCCTTGCGTCTGCCAGTCAACATAGAGCGAGCATAGACAGAAGAGGAAACATGAAACAAAAGTAATGTTTCTCCTCTTATTTCCAGAGTTCATTCTGGGCTTTTCCTTTTCTGAAGTGGATTGTGATGTCATTTGTTAAATCTTTATTGTAAATTTAAATGAAATGGAGCATATCATCAAAAAAAGGTTTACACAAGTTATAATTGAGTTTAATGTTTTATCTTATTGGTAAATTCCAGAGAAGTGACAGTTTCCCAATTCCTAGTTTTATGGTTTATGTATGCATTGGAATTAAAATGTTAGCGCATGTAGTGGTGTTGCAGGAATCCAAGGCCAAGAAGCACATAAGAGACTGGACACAGGTTTTCAGGAAGCACAGACTCATGTCTGCAAAAAAAGGCTAAGAGCCCCCTCTTGGGCTACAGTGTTTATATATGACTGATGATGCAGCTAATACGCAATAGAGATGTGCAAGGGTTACTCCCATACTGCGGCAATTAATAACCAATTAGCAAGTGTTTAACTGTTACATTATTCGTTTCCTACTTTACTGCGTATGAACATTCTTAGCATTCCTGTACATGGCCCTGATCATGTACAGCTCTTGTCCCATATTCGGGCATATGGCTCTGAGGCATTTCCGAGATCGTCTACCATAGTGGGAGGTACGGCGAAGATGGGGAGGACCTGGCGACGCTGTGGGGAGGGGGTGCTACCTGCAACTCTGTGGGATTTTTTCATGAATTGTATAATGTGCTCTGACTGGCAAACTGTCTAGTCTCCGGTCTCTTATATATGTATGAAATTCCCTTTGTTTTATGCCTTGACGCCGCCTTTGTTTTGGGTTATATATTTTAAAATGCCAATAGACTTCAATTATCAAAGTTTTTGATACACTGCACAGGTTTTTATTTTCCTCAGATAGGTAAATGGTAAGGAATATAACCTGCAAAAATTAGGCTGTATAGATAATATCCAAAAGACCTATCACTTTTTTCTTGTGTATTTCTTGTGATCTATGAAGTGGCCCAAGTTATTAGTAATATGAACAATATTTCCATGCAATTCTTTTATACATTCTAAATAAAGAGTGGGTATATTTGGTATCAAAAGAACATCAAATTGACCTTTAAAAACAGTATATAATGACTGTGCATGATTACTAGCGAGAAACTATGTCTAAATAACACATAGGAGCATGTTTGTGTCTCCATTATCATGACTGCAGGTTGTTAGTTCGTATTTTCTTGGTTAGGAAATTGGGTCCCATGATAATGAAATAGGCGCAAGTAATTGCTGTAAATGCGATAGATTTTTATTGTAACAGTCCAGCTGCTACTAGGCTACTTTTACTATAGTCTGTAGTACAATATTGCCCAATGCCCATTACTGAGGCTGTCTGCATGCTGCCAACTGTATTAATGTCAGTTACCCGAAAAGTCATGCACTTTTTTATTTTTACCTTGGGAAATTCTCCCATTTGTCTAATTTTCTATAGTGAACTGTAATGAAAAGCCATTCATTGATTCCCCTATGATTAAAGAATATAATGTGAGAATGTCATGTCTCTTAGACAACCACTATAGAACTTAGCATGCTGAGCCACTACAAATGTCGAAAATCCACACTTCTTTTCAGGAAAGTGACATCCTGCTGGCTTATTTCCTGCAATTACCAATAAGTGAATTAACTGTGTCAGTGACGAAGGATCTAGCGATTCAATGGGTATTATTCAAAATTGTGAAGATTTGACAGGGAAATTGCAAGGGAAGGAATTTACAAATCATAAACCAAAATAACAAAATTAGATAAATCTCAACTCACCTATATTTAAAAAAAAAAAGGAAAAAATTATAATCTCTGCATTATTTGGTTAAGTGTACGAATCATAATGGGTTAGTTAGAATTAATTCTATATAACCAGGACCCAAAGCAACATAACTCCACATATAGTTTAAATTAATGATCCAGAAAAATAAAAAAATAAAAATCAATGATTTCATATCTATACAGAAGGTTTTGTTTTATTGTCAGTTTTGCTTAATTTCGTATTGGGAGAATCAGAAATGTATTAAATATATTCTAATTTAGCAAGGACTAACTGGTTGGCAAACTGATGAGACACAGAAAAGGCCACTAAGCTGCCAACATAAAGGCAGCAACAGTCTATTACACATGCTGTTTTCAATTTATTATGACTGGAATTTTCTCATCGAAAACCAAAATTTGTGGCTTGTTGTTGGTGGAATAAGACATTCTTCTGTACAGTTTACATGCATATGCACAAAACTCATGGTTCTAAATTAAAAAACAAATAATACTATAAATTTTTGTAAAATTTTGTGATTAAATTAATTCATGAAACATTTAAAGGTGCCCCTAGGTGCATAGCCAGGACCCAACGTATTAAAAGAAAATGTAGTCATTTATTGTGTAACTTGTTTTTTTTTATAGGCAACTATTAAAGGGTTATTCCAACCAAAAAATGTTTTAATAAAACACTATATTTGGATGGAGTAACCCATGCCCCCATGGTTAGCCTCTCCTTCCCCAAGAAAGGAAAAATGAAATAAAGCATACATTTACCTTAGATCCCATGCCAAGAACAAGTTCTCCCTGCAGTCAGATCTTCCTTTAGGGATATTCCGGAAGGAGGACTTGGGTGGCATGCAGCGGAAGCCATGTTGCTATTGATCATCTTTCACAAGCATATTAAGCGTGCTGATGACAGATCCCAAAATTCACAAAATTAACATTTTCAGCCCAGAACGCTTGTCCCAGTCTGGCTAATCACACTGCTGGAGGTAGAGTTCCCCCTCTTGCAGCAAAGTTCTTTAACTCTGATTGTGAAACGCTGCACATACAGAAAGACTCCAAGCACCATGACAAATTCAGATCACTGAAGTGGCCATGCTGCCTGGAGTAGCCCTTTAAGCATCAAGCCCATTATACAACTTTTTAACCCCTTAAGGACCGAGGACGGTTCAGGACCGTCATCGGCATTTTCCCATTTCTGACCGCTGACAGTCCTGAACCGTCCTAACGGTCCGAGTTACTTACCTGATCGCCGTCGTTCCCCCGGCGGCGATCAGCATTGCTCCCGGTGTGGGGAGACTGCCTGCAGCCCAGACAGTCTCCCCATGGCGGATTAGGACCCCTGTGGCAATGTGTCTGCCTGCAGGGGGACTGCCTGTGCTGACAGGCAGTCTCCCTGCTAGTGTAAAATCATTAAAAAAATATAGTTAGTGTTAATTAAAAATAAAATAATTATATATGTGTATATATATATATATATATGATATATAGACATATATTATATATAAATAATATATGTCTATATATCATATATATAATGTCATACTAAGTGTATTCTTATATTAATATGTACATATATTAATATAAAAATACACTTATAATTAAATTACACACGTATATATATAATATATATAATAACTATATATATTGTATATATATATTATTATAAAATATAAATAATAAGTAATTTAAATTAAATTTTTTTTAAATAATAATAAAAATTTTAAAAAAATTATATATCTATATGAAATTTTATTCTAACTGTATTTTAAAATTAATATATATAAATTTAAATCAAAATACACTTAGAATGAATTTGTATATATATCTATGTATATATAAATAAATAAAAATAATACGAAATATACATATGTCCATATAAAAAATTACATAAATAATTATATAAATATACACGTAGACTTCAAATATATAAATATGCATATATATTTAAATTCTACGTGCATATTTATGTAATATTTCTACATAATTAAGTAATTTTATTGATTGCAATTTGAGGGACCTGCCTGCCAACCCAGGCCGAAAGTCCAGAGAATTTAATTTGCTAGCACTGTATTTAACCCTGTAACTTTCTATGACACCCTAAAACCTGTACATGGGGGGTACAGTTTTACTCGGGAGACTTCGCTGAACACAAATATTAGTGATTGAAAACAGTAAAACATATCACAGCGATGATATTGTCAGTGAAAGTGACTTTTTTTGCATTTTTCACACACAAACTGCACTTTTACTGATGATATAATTGTTGTGATACGTTTTCCAGTTTTTAAACACTAATATTTGTGTTCAGCGATGTCTCCCGAGTAAAACGGTACCCCCCATGTACAGGTTTTATAGCATTTTTTAAAGTTACCGGGTCAAATATATGGGTCAAATATTTTTACATTGAAAATGGCCAGGTTGGTTACGTTGCCTTTGAGAGCGTATGGTAGCCCAGGAATGAGAATTACCCCCATGATGGCATACCATTTGCAAAAGAAGACAACCCAAGGTATTGCAAATGGGGTATGTGCAGTCTTTTTTAGTAACCACTTAGTCACAAACACTGGCCAAAATTAGCGTTCAATTTAGTTTTTTTACTTTTTTTCACACACAAACAAATAAGAATGCTTACTTTTTCGACTAAGTGGCTACTAAAAAAGACTGGACATACCCCATATTGAATACCCTGGGTTGTCTACTTTAAAAAAAATATGTACATGTGGGGTGTTATTCGGAGATTTCTGACAGATAATAGTGTTACAATGTCACTATTGATAAATTTAAAAAATGTATGTTTTGAAACCAGAATATCCTACTTGTACCTATAGCCCTATAACATGCAAAACAAAGCAAAAAAGCACCTAAACACTGCGTATTTTGAATCTATTTAGCAGTTTTTTTTAATTCGCTTTTGTAGATGAGTAAAAGATTTTTCAAGTAAAAGTCAAAAAACATGTATTTTTTTCAATTTTTCATCATATTTTTTTATTTTTTTTAAATTAAAATACATGAGATTATATAAATAATGGTATGTAAAGAAAGCCCCTTTTGTCCTGAAAAGAACAATATATAATTTGTATGGGAACAGTAAATGAGAGAGCGGAAAATTACAGCCAAACACAAACACCACAAAAGTGTAAAAATATGCCTGGTCGCAAATGTACAACATCGCAAAAACAGTCCAGTCCTTAAGGGGTTAAATCCTCTAGCTTTATAATAATAACACACTCTTTGAAAACATGATCTATAGATATGAATAATAGGAGAAAATCATTGGCATTATCCATTAAGTTGTATTTTTCTTTTGCTATTCTATTTGTATACAAATTATAAGCAGTGAAGATCACTATTATTTTTTTTATGCTTTTATAAATTCTAAATGAGGAGTGTGTATATTTAGTATCAAAAGAACATCAAAACGACCTTTAAAAACAGTATTTAATGTCTGCGCATTATTACTCCAAATAAGAGAGAGAAACTATGTCTAAATAACACATAGGAGCATGTTTGTGTCTCCTTCATCATGAATGCAGGTTGTTAGTTCGTATTTTTATGGTTAGGAAATTGGGTCCCATGATAATGAAATAGGCACAAGTAACTGCTGTAAATGCGATAGATTTTTATTGAGGTAGCAATGCCCTACCCATATTAATACAGAGCTGTCTGGTATGGGGAAGAGACTAATGCAGTTGTATTACTTTGTTATATATTGTATTACATTTAAAGAATGGGTCACTGAATTAATTTTCAATTGAACGTAATTTGTCCACTTGACAAAATAAAAGCTTAAGAGCTACCCCAAATTTTGGTATTTTTAATATGCATTGTAATAAATATAATGTTTAAAAGGGGTTACATTTTTGTACATTGGAATGTTATTATTCTCGAAAGATCTATACATAACAACAGACCGTTTCTAGATTCTCTCATCATGTGATGGTCCTACCAGGGTAAGTGTAAAAGTATTTGTGAACAGTTTGACAGGTCTGCCAGGTGTTGGACGCAGTCTCTTCTAGTACTGGAAGCTCCTGCTAGCTATGGTTGGCAGAGAGCATCTGCTGAGCAACCTTAGCTCAATGCAGGAGCTTTCAGGTGGCAGGAGAGGTCCAATCACTGCCTGGTGGACCCGAGATAAGTTTTAAAAATGTTCATTCCTTTAATTCTCCAGGCTATAGTCTGAGGTCATAGGTGGTAGGAGAACAATATGCATCTGTTATTCCTTGGTAACATCATAATTAGATATAGAATTAGTGAACCTACATGTTGACCTATCACTGTGAAGGTAAACACTTAAATGGACACTGTAGGCACTGTATCTGCTTTATGTCATTAAACTGGATATAGTGTCTAAAATCTCCTGGGGTCATGAACATTAAACCTTTTTGTTTTTTTACTATTTTTTTTATGTTTTAATGCTAAACGAGAGTCTCCAGCAGGGCTTCCCCTTTGTGCTGCTTTGGCTAATGAGCAAGTATTAGCCTGAGCAGCAATGGGCAGCTTTTATTGGCTGAGAGTGTCAGCTATTGCTTTTATCCTATCAGAGCTCCAACTGACAGTATGAAGGGTCTGACTACAAGGAAGTGGATAATCTCTGCCCTAACCACACCTCCAGTGGGGCTGGGCAGTGGCTGGCCTTATGTAGTGTTAGACTGCTGTAAAATAGTTTTATACTGAATGAAGGCACAGTGCCAGGGGACTGCAGGAGCTATAACAAATTTAAAGAGATTAAATGGTTATAGTGACTACAGTGTTCCTTTAAAGGAATATGTTCTAATCTGTATTTAATATATATCTTGTGTGGATATATCCTACCTGCATTCCTCGAAATATTCTTCATAGAAGTGTTCATTTTTTCTTATTGTTGTGTTTTTGTTTGGGTTCGATGAGTGAAATTCCCTTCTATTTTGCTTTTTGTTTGTTTTTAGCCTTGAGTTCCAATTATTCACAATAGCTGTGTTTTCCACCAAGGCGAATTGCATTCTGCAGTACCTGTGTGTGGGAGCACATAGCTTACACACAGCTGGGATTGTCCTCCATTCAGTAAGACAGAATAGCTGTTCATTTAGCTCAATCCACACAATGTGCTCTACAGCCCAACCTCTGCAATGCAACAAGACACACACAATAACACCTGCAATCCCACCTACACATACGGCTCACACAAAGCATTAACTGGTTCTCCAGATATGCACAACATCCCCAAATCACCCTCTTCTATTACATGGACACAAACAAGAACTGCATTACTGTCCTAGAAATTCTTGACACGTTGCTCATATCGGTTTGGTTAGACACTTAGTTTTCATAGGTAATATGCCATTCTTTACCGTAATCTCGGTATTTAAAACAATGACATGACTTAATATACCTTTCACAGTTTCACTGCAGGTATGAATTGGTATGGCTACATGTAAGTGTGTAATCTCTGCCTTAGCCATACCTCCAGTGGGGGCGGGGCTATGGGAAGCCAGGGACCCTCCAACTGTGTTAAACTGCTCAGAAATGGGAGCAGTGAGATGAAATGGTTATTCTGTCTACCCTGTTATTTAAACAACCCCAAAACCTCCTGCAATAAGCTCATTTAATTTTATTAGTATATACATTTATAATTATTATTATTTTCATTATTTTATTATTTATATAGTGCCAGGAAATTCCGTAGCGCTTTACAGTGCATTGCATGTAATTGCATGTAATCTACTGATTTTGTTAGATATTAAGTGATAAATTATTTTTTTAAGGAAAGAGCGGCGTTATTTTCAAACCAGTCTAGCTGATATTTGTACGTGCAAAAGCACAAAAGGCTTGCAGTAAATATGAAGCTTTGAGAAAGATTTCTGGCAGATGTGATGAGCCGGACTGTGCCAGATTACTGGGACAACATTCTGAGAAATAGTGATCAAGCATTGAATGTAGCAATGGATTGCTTAATAGCTGGACTTCTCTACCTCTCTCTATTATCCACAGTAGCTTAGCCCAGAAAACACCATTATTTAGAAAACAATTACTGTCAAACCCTTCAAAAATAGAAATGCTGCTTCATTATAATGGGAAGCAAATTACTAGTGATTTTGAAATCAAGGGCATTCTGAGATATGACAGAAAACATCCCTATGTAACGCATATTCTCTCTGATTAGACTCTGGGCATTTCACTTTCCTGTCAATTTTCAGAATAGAAAATGTTAACCTTCTCTTGTATGTACGATATTAGACTAACTCCCCAAAGGGCATTTTTTTTTATAATAATCTTCTAATAAGAATTCCTAAATTATGGGAGATTACTTTTCACTGGCTTACAGACTTATATTATATATTTAAAAAATAAGGAAGTGTTTTTAGCAATGCATTTAAAGCGTTGTCTGGCTGAGAGGACAATTGGACAATAAATTGCCAGAGACCCTCAATTTCAGTATGCAAGGACACAATCCAGAATTGGTGGAATGACAAAAGAAAACCAAAACATACAGCTGGTAATGAAAGTAATGGCTCTGCCTGGTTCAATAACACCCATTAGACTTAGAATGTCTTAATGCACTGTAAAAACTGCCAGCAGCCATTGCATTTTCTCCCATAAAACCCTATGGGAGAGAGTTAAGAAAATATCTTTATGTTCCTAGCTTTACTCCTATCAAAAAAGACCAAGTTAAAGGAATGTTTTACTTACCTGTGACTAAAGCTGCTCTATATGTTTCACACACTGCCACCAGAGCCGGATGTACTTCATGAGAACCTGTACGCACACAATTTTATCACATGACAGGAGGCTTCATATTTTGCATAACTTTCTTTACTTTATGCCTCCAGCAGCACAAGTCAATCAATAAACTTTAAACCAATCAGTAACAGGCATCACATTCATATATAAAGCCCTGATAGTCACATGACTTCCTCTTTCTTTGCTGCTTACCAGCCAAGGCACAGGTCAGAGTATTTTGCTCCAAACTGTTTTACTGAATATTGCAATTGTCATTAGTTAATCATTTATTGCTTAACTTTCAGTTTGTTCCAAACTGTTTTTATTAATATTGCTATGGTCACTGTAGTTAGACACCTTATGCTAGACATTTAGTTTTAATCCTAACTGTTTTTTCTGGATACCACTTTAATTAAACTTTATTAATTGACTTTCAGTTTGCTCCAACTGTTTTTATTAATATTGCTATGGTCACTTTAGTTAGATTTTTAATGCTAGACATTCAGTTTTTGCTCCAAACTGTTTCTGGATATGCATGGGCACTTTTGTTAAACTTTATTAGCTTGTCCTGCAATTTTGGCCTAAACGTTTTTCATTATTTTGCACTTGCCTTCCATTTGGATTTGTATAGTGTGATATTCTCCCCGTTACCCTTCCCCTGAATTAACCCTGTATTTTCTGCTTTATTAGCCTGTTTTCTGTTGCTGGCACCTTTTCTTTCCTATGCTTTACTCTGGTCTCGCATGGATCGCAGCGTTTTACCGCGAGCACGCTTTTTATTCATTGGTGCTGGGACTTCAGGGCAGGTCTCTGGGGGTTGGGGATGTCGGGGGGACTCTTTTCCATGCCGGCAGACCGCGATCGTATCCTCGATCGTGGGCCGCACGGCACTTTTGCGCGCGAACGGCGGCCATCTTGAATCTCGCGGCACTCGCGAGATTCACGTCGGCCATGTCGTTTGGCCAGTTCGTGATTCCCACGAACTGGCGGCTAGTTCTGTACTGTTTCATATATTTTCCTGTGAAATAAAAGTTTTACAAGTACTTTTGAGCTCAATACTGTTCATGGGCATGTGGAATAAAGGTTTTATATGTACCTTTCCTGGAAGATTATGAATGGACTGTTCACTGCTGAGCTCTATACTGGCATATTTCATTGGCATGTGAAATAAAAGTTTTATATGTAACTCTGCATGAATATGTAGGACTGATCCCTGCTGTGTGCATCTGCTGACAGTTTGCTCTATTCTGTTCTATACAATTGACATGTTGAATAACAGTTTTATTGTACATCTGGAGGATTATGAATGGACTGTCCCCTGCTGTGGGTATATAGTGGATGCATTACTCTATCTACTGGCAGGGAAACTACTCCCACTGGACCTCACAACCATTGGATACACTCCTTCCCCACAGGGATCCACCTCCCAGGACACAGTAGTGGAGGCACATAACGGAGTGATTAACAGGGGTGTTCCCCCTTACGCTGGGTGACCCCCAAGCGTGGCAGACACCTCTCCAAAGTGACATTGTGGTACAGGGGTGACCCCCCCTTACGCTGGGTGACCCCCAAGCGAATCTGGTTCCTGTCCTAGTGACATACATATACTGGGGTGATCCCCCTACACTGGGTGAACCCCAAGCGAATATTATTCCGGTACTAGTGACATATACTGGGGGGAACCCCCACGCCCTAGGACGGGCTCATATCCACGGAGTACGATCTGTTACTGTATGCACAGACCGGGTCACACTGGATACATGTATATCGAGGAGAGCTCACGGTGCTGCCAATTCTCCACAGTACTATATCCTATAAGGGTGACCCCTTGGATAATTTGGAGACTACCATACCTCCCCATACACGGGCTATGTCCCGACATTACTGACCGCTCATCCCGGTCTTATTGAGGGTGACCCCCTCAGACTACTCCCAGGAAATCTCTAAGTGGTACTGATTGAAACAATTCTGGGTGACCCCCAGTCGTACGTGGAGGCCCACTAAGTGGCAATAAGCCAATATTGAGACATTCAGACAGGGGTGACCCCCCTATGCTGGGTGAACCCCAAGCGAGTCTTACTCCGGTGCTAGTGGCATAGGTACAAAGGGGTGACCCCCTACCGGACGGGGTGACCCTCTGCGCGCTTTCTAGGGCTTCTACCTTCAGAGTACGCTCTGTCATTGTATGCACAGACCAGGGCACACTAGATGCATGTATTCTGGCACCTCTATGCTTCAACTGGGGTTCCGTACTCCCTTCCCTTAACCGAGAAGGAGAACTTACAGTGCTGCCAAAACTCCACAATTCTAGACCATATAGGGATGAACCCCGTGGACTATACATATTGAGGCTTTCACGTCTCCCAGACTCGGGTACGTCCCGACATTGCAGACCGCTCATCCTGGTCGTACTGAGGGTGTCCTCATTCTCAGACCACTCCCCGGATCCTGTGAAAATGATACTAATTGATCAAAATTCTGGGTGACCCCACTGAGTGGCAATAAGTGTACTGTTGTACGATCCTGTCTCCCACGGACCGAAAGGGTGTGAACCAACATGTCGGACTAACCTCAATATCCCTGACCGATTTTCAGGCGAGGATTAAGGCCGCTATGACAGCTCCGGGGGAAGAAGTCCTCTCCAGTATGCTGGCTA